TGTCATGTTAGATTTCTGTGCAAGAATCCCCACACTGAGCGCAAGGCCTCATCTAATTATGGAAAAGTTGTCAAGGCGCTGGCGCTCCTGCTTGGTATCTGCGCGTGGTACCCGCCCGAGAAACAACAGGCTGTCTGAAACCTGTGCCCACCACTGCCTCACAGGCTAAAACCTGTGCGACATGCAGGCCTCACGAAGTGTCTGCAAAACAGAGATGTCGCTCTAAATTACTCACAGAATCATTCACAGGAACAGCAGAATGGTATGAAGCTGCTGAGCAGGGGTGGCTTCTTGGTTAATAGTCCTCATTCAGTCCACCACCAGCCAGGCAGGGCATTGGAATTGCTGAGAAAATGTAGAAACTTGTGTCTCATATCACCAATAGTACTTAGCAGCACGACTTGCATTAGGTTATTTTACAGAAAGTAGCTCCTGGACTACTGAAAAAAAGATAAAAATCAAGAATAAATAATCAAATTAAGCTATGCTGTTTATGACTCAGTGTTATTGATCCCTCAAAGTTAATTGTCTTTTGGTTACAAAGTGGTCTACATATGGAGGTCAGAGGTCAGGGTTGAAGCTGAAAATGTGCTGCTCAGGCACCATTCAGCAGGGTCAAACAGTGTCAACACCATGCAACCCTAAGTGACCACGCTGTCTTCACAGTCTTCACAGTCTTCACGGTAAGATTTAAGCCTGTAAATGGAAGGAATGATCAAATTGCAGACAGCTATTTAAAAACTCAAGAATTCAAGAATTCACTTTCCCCACCAACTGTAGAATGCATGTTGTGTCCAATACGTGTTGCTCTCTGAAAGATTGAAACATCGCATTACTTGTTATTTATTGGATGTTGCTGGATGTTGCAGTGATGACTTATAAAAAGAAATGTAATAGACAAAACACAGTTCCTGAAAATCCACTGTCTATAGCAGATGTACTGACACTTGGTGCTGCTGCACAGATAAAAGGTGTAATACCTTCTATATACTATCTGAAAACCTATGCAGAGTAATCTATATGACTGCTTCAGCTCACTGCAGAGCAGACACAAGGCCTCTGTGAATACAGGCCTTTGCAGTTTCCACACACCAGCAAAGATGCAGAGGCATCATGGGATTTCAATAACATCCGTTCATCCAACATCCTGCTTTCCTGACATGGTGGCTGCTGTGAAACGTTGATTTTTGTTGACAAAGTTGGGCTTTGCATCCATTCAGTAGACAAAAGGCAAAGTTAAAGAATAAAAGAAACGTTCAGGAAAAGTGGAGGCAAAGAATCCTGGTTTATTCTCTCAGGGAGTTTTTATACTGTGATTCTTCTACTCCAGCATACAACAGCCCGCCATCATGAATGAGTGTATTTAGAAAGGGCATAGAAAAGTTGCATGTTGGTTGCATTCTATTCAGAGTTACTGGTTGCACTCTGCGTATCTGCTCCTCCTGCAGCCATCTTCAGTGCATGTATATTGCTCTTTGTGAGTGAGAACTAAGAGCAGTGTACTGGTGTGTATAAAATCCTTGAAGTGTAAACTATTGTCCATCAGATCACACTGATTTACAACTCAGGGGGCAGATGTTTTGGAACAAATTTAAGAGTTTTTATACAGATACTTCAAGGTTTTTTGACTAGAAAAACTATTTATTTTGCCAATATTTGTAATATTCAAAGACAAATCATATTACAATGCTACAGTAGTATTAGCAGTAATATTGAGTGTGCTTACAATATATACAATAATTTGGATTAAATTTGGATTTTAAGATTAGTGCAATAGCAAAAATAAAAATAACAAATATATACAAAGGTATCTGAATGTTATACTTTGTAAAATGTGGCTGTTGCTGTTCTAAGATATCTTGTGTTTTTGAATGTTTAAATTCAAAAGTATTAAATGTTATTCAAAAGCTCTCAGAGTTTAGATCCTTACCTCAGTTGTACCTTTTTTTAATCTTAATTCTGAATTTCTCTATCTACAAGATTGCAGCATACATTAATCTAAATGTTACTTTTAGTAGTGAACAGACCAGCCATAGATAATATGTTAGCATAATGTAATTTATTCCATTTACCTATGGACAATTGTGTTATCCACATGGGCTGCAGTATAATGGAAGATGTAATGTCCTGTCATACAAAGGCCAGGAACAATACAGGAGCCTGAACTATTAGATGTATATGGAAATGTAGCTGGTGAAATTAGCCCAGAATAAATGAAATGATTCATTGGGTGGGTTATTATTGTTTTTACAGTTGTCATTGCCTTGTGTCATTATATTAAGTCATTAGCAACATATGTTGCAGTAGAGCTATAGAAAAAAAAGGAGGAGAAATAACAGACACATGTGTGCACTGAAATCATTATTACCACCAATGTTGCACTAGTTCCCTTAAAGGCCTTTAGTGATATCTGCTTAAGCAATATATTAGAGCGCCATCTGTTGGTCTTTTATAGAGGTGGTTATAAATTTCAGCCTAACTACTGCAGCAGTAAAAATAATGTGTGTAGTCAGAATAGTGCATACATCAGTAAATGTGCAATATTTTACTTGAGGTAAACAGGCCAATTTAACAGAGTAAAAATAATTTGTGATTATAGACTAACATTCCTAAAAGCAAAAGCCACAAATGAATGGCCCTGAGAAGAAATTAAGTAATTGTATTTGAACCCAAGAGTGCAAGCAGGACAAGCTGTTTGTGCAGTGGTGGCCGGGCAGATGGGTCACGTTTTTTTGGGCTTAATGTCAAACAGGCGAGTGGGAGGATGGGTAGACAGACTCATACAGGCGATGTTCCCTCAGGGGCTTTACTGATAGGCCCTGATTGCAAGGTCTTAGCAAGGTGCCATTTAATGTGAGACTGTAAACAAGGTCAAAAGTATGTCGGGTTACAGCTGCCAGTCACCCGGCCAGTCTGTGACCAGCAAGGTGCCACAGAGGCCTGCAGGGTGATGTGGAGAGTAAAGGAGACAGAGAAGAGATAAGAGAGTAATCTACAGTATTTTACTAATGGTCAGTTTTACAAAGGAGCAAACATACTATAAAATACCTATTCCCAACAGGGTAGGCTACATGGAAAGATCTTGGAGTAGCATAATTTATTTGAAAAAAGCAAACCATGAACTATGATTTGCTTAAAAAATATGTGTATGTATATAGCCACATATTGACAGGCTGAAGTCTAAACAATTTGCTAAAAGTAATGAATAAAAGGAGGCAACAGAGAGCTAAAAGTGATGGATAAATTATTAAAATAGCTTACATTAGTTAGAAGTAATGGATGTATGTTTAAAATACAGAGGTAAAAGTAAGAGGTAAATGGTTGAAAGAACTAAATGTAAAGAATAAATTGTTGATGAATAACTTTTAGGTGAATAAACAGTCCAAATAGCTAACAGTATTGGCTCAATGGTGAAATAGTTAGCTAAATGTAGGCTAATAGATGAATGGCTAAAACAGCTAAAACTAACAGACATACAGCTGAAGAAATTAGCTTAAAGTATTGGATAAATGGTTGAAACGTTGAGTAATAAGAATGCAAACTTGAATAGAAGACAGTTTAAATGAGCTCTAATGAACATGGCAGGCAGCGCTGATGAAGGGGTACTTTCAGTTCTTCTGGACCAAAAAGAACCACTGCTGTAGAACAATCAGTATTTGGCACAAAAGCACACTGTAATATACATTCAGGTCACATTCATGTTATTCTTTCCCTGAAATCTTTCCTGTCTCTCTTAGTCCATTCTGGGAAGCAGAAATATTAAGTAAGCTATTAAATACACAACCAAGCAAAGGTTATTTATGTGTTGGAATACTGATGGACCATTTATGGCCCAGACAGCTAATTGACTATCGGATGGTGTTGACATTGAGACATATTGTCATGTCAGAGCATTGGGTGCCCAGGGCTGATTTGGGGATTTGAAGGGAGGGGTGAGGCAAAAGTGATGAAAACAAATGTTTGTCTCTCAGAGTTTTGCCCGGGGCGAGACGCTCATCACTGGACACTGACTGGTCTGGTTGCTCCTCTATTGATTTCAGACTGGGATGGGCAGCGGCCCAGCCAGGGCCTCTGGTTCTGACTGTCTGGCCTGTGATTGATTAATTAACGTAAAATCATCCTCAGTTTAATTCAGACAGCACCAGACAGACACTGTTGGACCATAAGCCAGTTTGATTCACCTGCTGTTTTTATTGTGGCTTGCTCACATACACCGCAAACTCTGCAAGTAAAAGAAAATAATGCAGACTGCTATTGTATTATGGTTCATACTGATCAAGTCTCACAAATGTGTTACACTGTGCCCGTCTAACTGGTTTGGTGTGAATTCATCAACATTTGATTAAAATATATATTGTCAGTTGGTAGGTTGTTTGGTTACTGTCAATCAGATCTTATCAAACCACATCAAAACAGTCCTGATGAAGCAAATTAACAGAGTTTTCTCCTAAAAAAAGAATACCTAAATATGCTTTTTTAAAACATTGTTCTGATTATTACATATATTGATATTGATTTGAAGCCAGGGCTATCAGGGGTATTAAAGTTTTTCTGTCAATGTCTGATGATAAAGAATAATAAAAAAAAAAAAAAAACTCAATTTGCTATTTCTATTGCAATGATATAAGTGACCTCTGGAGAAGGCCAGAGCACCACATAATGCATTTCACACACACATTGCGATAGCATTTTCATGTTGGTCACTCATTGTAAAGCAAACAAGGGTTTAAGTATGAATGCATGGTGAGGTACAAGGTAAATGGTGTCACTGTGAGACTAAGTGAATGGTCGGTTCAGTTTGTCTAGCAACAGATAGACACCAGAGATATATAAAAGGTGAGAGGAACTCCGGAACAGGATTTCTATGAGACAAATAAATCCGGTGGTAACGAAAAAAATTAAATCATATTTCAATTAAAAGAACCTTTTATATCCAGACCTGACACTCAATGCGTTCTTGTCCTTTGTCGGCACAGATGTAATAATAAAACATGGAAAACTTTAATCGAAACCATTTTTATTTGACAAAGAGTTTTTGGATTATAGCTGACACAGTCATGAAGCAGCCTCCTAGTACAGTACAATTAGAAGTAACCTGTGAAAGATTTTCCCTAAATATATTATTGTAAAATGTAATGAGATAACAACCATCAGTGCAATATTTTATACATTTTATAAACTGCTGTCTCACATTTCATTAGCTTCCCTCTCATCTGTTCTTTATATATTAATAACTATCTCATAAACCTGTGTAAACTAGCATGCGATTCTTAGAGGGAAAGAAATAAAGCCCCATAACTCTTAAAGCAGACCCACCCAGGAGTATGAGACATCACCGCTAACAGTGTTGGCTCGGGTGCTTCCAGCAAAATGTTTTGTCACCATTAATTTCACAGTAATATATTAACGAGAAAGATTCTACACACAGTCTCTTTCATATCCCCATACCACCTCTCCTGATGATATTGTACGTCAGTAGTTACCTTGCCCCACCAGGGCTCATCCTGTCTCGGTCCAGTGCTTTAAAGTTTGCATGACTGCACAGTCATAGTTCCCTCTGGCCAACGGTACGAGTCCACAACAAACTCTTCATAGTCAGTGCTGTAGGTGAGCGAGTGTAAGAACGCATCTTTGTCAGACGGCTCTGGGCGAAGTGTGGCCATGTTGTGCTCGTAGGCGTACTCCATGATCTGTAAAGCACAGGGTGTGTAAGTTTTTGGTAGTTTCACAAGCCCCCCCCCCCCCCCCCCCCCCCATACAACTGGAATAACACAGACATGGTGAGGTAAATTTGTTTGCTGCTGTGTGCATACTGAGCTCTCACCTTGATAGCCAGTTTGAGAGACACGTCCCTGATAGAGTTGAGAGGAGGATACAATCTTCCCTGTGCCAGGTCCTCCTCCGTCACCAGGTTAGCGAGAGCCTGTTAAACATAAACACATCACTCATGTTACCACAGAAAATAATTGAATAACACGTTTACATATGCTGCATATGAGTCAGATTCCTCGCAGCAGAGTTTATACACATATACAGAGAAGGTGAGAAAGTTCTGTTGTGTCTGTGGCCTTCATAGAGCCAATTGAATGTTGTTTTATTATTTTTTTTATTGTTAGTTTCATAATTTCACACATTTCACATAAGATAACAAGAAGCAATGGTGTTGACAACACGGTATATTATCAAACTGTTAAAATATGAGGCATTGTTAATGGTTAAATTACCAAACAGTATATAAAGAGCCTCTCGATCAACTATAACTTTAAAATGCTACATACACATCAGTAATAATAATGCAGTGATACCATATAAAATAGTATAAAACTAACAGGGCCTACTTTTTATGCACTAAGCACTTTTTTTTTTTATTTATACTTTATTCAATCATGAAGTCACATTGAGATCAAGATCTCATTTACAAGTGAGACCTGAGTACAGAAAAATAAAATGAAATACAATAAATAACAAAAAGAAATATTAATAGCAGAGATACAAATTTTCAGTGATTTAAATATACATTCAGATATGTATTCAAATAAACATAGACGTGTTTATATAAACAACAATCAGAGTGTATATTTAAATGAATTTAAATATCATAAGTGCAAGTTAGAAAAGAGATTATATAAAACAGTCACACCCCATGTCAGTAAGACTTCTAACCAAGTTTTTGAATTGGCATATTGCTATCAGCGTGTCAAGTTTCAGTCTGCTCTGTAGATTATTCCACACAATTGTGGCGTGATATCTGAAGGCTGTCCTACCAAGATAGGTATTTACTGCTGGAACACATGAAGGCAGCCAGTCCTGAGAACGCGCATTAAGAGGAGAATGTCTTGAGCACAGGAGTGATGATAAATAAGGTGGCAAATTTTCACATGTACTAATGTTATTTCCGTACTTTTATTATCAATTTTTTTGTGCAGTAAAGGAGCTATTTTACAATCTAAATACTACAGTAAAAAGTTTTGAATACTTCCCCCATCGCTGTCAACAATGTACCATGAATATCTCCAGATCATCATTAGATCCTCTAGATACAGCCTGAATGAAGCCTCAGGGGTGCTGGCAGAGGTTCATACAATTTCATGCATTGATTTAAAAATAATAAAGATTTGAAAAGTGTGTGTATATTCTGTATATGTTGGTTTGTTACCTCTGCTGCAATAAGGAAGATTTCTTCACTAATATGTCGGACAGCGCAAGCCGAGACGCCCAGGCCCACGCCAGGGAAGATGTAGGCGTTGTTTCCCTGACCGGGGTAGAATGTCCTCCCATCAGGCATGGTGACGGGGTCAAATGGACTGCCACTGGCAAAGATGCCGCGCCCCTGCAGTACAGAGTTGTATATTAATATATTCAAGTATTATTCACCCAAAAGACAGAAATCATTCATAGACGTGTATGGGAGTGAAACAAGACTCCAGAGCGTCCTGAGCGAGTACCTCTGTAAACATGTAACACTGCTCAGCAGTGCATTCGGCTTTGCTGGTCGGGTTGCTGAGGGCGAAGATGACGGGGCGTTCATTGAAAGAAGCCATGTCCCTGATGACCTGTTCGGAGAATGCTCCGGCAACAGCTGCCACACCTGAGACAGAAAGACATTGATGTGCAGTGTATTCACTTTTAGATGATTCCTTTAGGAGCTTTTCTAGTCTTTCAACTTTAAAGAAGGGCTGAATATTTTGTGCATCATCTTCAACACTACTATCACAGTCCCTTCAATCCAGTCCATCAGTGTCATTTATCTAACACTGTGCTCATGTGTGAAAATGTCTTTGCTCCCCTAAAAAACAATCCTACAGGTCGTCTGTGCAAGCAGCTTATTACAACCCATTGTGACATTTTATTGCTCGGAGCTGTAGTAGTTACGACATGAACAAAGGAAGAAGTCCGCGTGTAGGGTGTTGTCAGGGTGGATGTATTGGACGTTGACACAGGAAACCAATGCTTGTTTCCTGTTTCAAACTGGTGATAAGGGTTGTTTCTGTGAACCATGAGCATTTCATCACTGTAACTGCACGTTCAGAGGGAAAAACGACATACATGACAGTTTAGGTTGGAGGAAGCTGGGAAACATTCATGCTTGTTGTTTTACCAATGATAGCTGTGGGTTTCAGTTCCTGAACGACATCCTCCAGTCTCTTCACATGTGGGTGCTCATGAGCAAACCTCTCCTTCTCATGAGTCAGGTGATCCCGACCCTACAGATTTGGAAAGAGTGGATGTAGAGGGCGACATTAAAGACTTTAAACCATCTGTGGAATCACTGTTATTGCTCAATATTGCACAATAGTTTTAGTGCTGTGGGAATGAAGGATTTCTTGTAAGTGTTCCTCGGAGAAGGTGAAATAAGATGCATGGGAGAAGGACGAGAGAAGACAGTGAAGAGGAGGAGGAGGAGGAGGAGGAATGAGGAAGAAATAACAGATAACATGGATATCGTGGACAAAACAGATGTATAACCCTCTGGAGAGCCTTTTACAGTGACTCCAAAGAAAGACCTCTGTCATATAAATTAACGACCCATAGGAAATCTTTTTTTATGGATTGTGGAGGTAGATGTCAAACGACTCAGGAGAATCCACCCTCAGATATTCTCATCCTCTGATTTCATATCAGTCCGTCATGTTTTGTTCATTTCAGTCTGTTATTGGTTTGTTTTTATTTCTATCTGCTCTACTTCCTGGCTCATTAACTCCGGTCAGTTACAATGATTAGATTACATAGTGCTTAGTGCATTTTTGCCTGTATGTGTGCATGTTGTTTGTTGCTTTAGTAAGACACCTTGACAATGAGACCCTTGGAATCAACCATCCAGATCTTTTTCAAGCACTCTTCCTTAGCGAGTCCCTCCTTCTCCATGGCCATGGTGATCAGCTCAGCAATCCCCATCGCTGCCTGGGAGCAAGACAAAAAGGGATAAAATTCGTTCATTCACACCAGCTTTGGCAGCTTCTGTTTCAAATTCGAGTAACCCACAAAATCTCATCAATCTCTCAGAAGAATATCCGACCTGAAATCACTATATTTTCTTTCCATTTGAGAGAGAAAAGGCTTCAGTGGTGGTATCAGAAGTAATTAAATTATAAATTGAATTCTTTCACATATGAATCAAATAGAGCAAAATGTTCTTTCACTAAAACAGCATTCAGTATGTTCATGGTCTGAGTCCCTTGTTTAAAGTGAGACTATGTAACTTTTGAAAGACGAAAAAAAAAACCCACAATCTTCCTCTTAGAAATAAAAACAACTTTATAAGCAATAAAACACAACCTTGCTTTGGGGTTTTGCTACTTCAGCCTCACTCTGTCTGGTATGACCAGAAGCTTGGTTAGCAAGCTTTAATTGGCAGCTTTTGATAGATGTTACTGTTGTGTAACTTACATTATTGAGACACATTTTCAGTAGTTTTATCTCAAAAATGAAGTGAGAATTAAACTCAGCATACTTCAATAGGAAACGTTTGTATTTCCTTTTTTATTTTCTTTTTTTGTTACCACCAGGATGTTCATGATTTAAAACATCTGATTCAAGGAAATCTTGGGAAATTATATTTTCCACTATCTTCCTATAGCCTATTATCTCTTTTGTTCACAGTGACTGCTGTTCAGCCAAACTTACAGAGCCAGTCTCACTGTGTGAGTGTGCTGCACCTACCTCCCCTGCACCTTGGAACACAAAGGTGTGGTCACACATTTTGCTCTTGGTGATGCGGAGGGCGGCCAGGAGTCCAGCTACTGCCACAGCAGCAGTACCTGAGGGATATACATCAACATCAACACGCGGAGATAAATCTGCTCTTACTGATTTTGGTGGTCTTAGCCTTTGGTGGTCTTTTCGAAATTGAAATGTTTACAGGGAACAGATCTACTGATGCCCCTTATCTGTTATGTTGGCGTTGCGATACAGACTCAAACATATCTTTAAAAAAAGAAAGAGGTGTACATGTAAAAAAAAGTGTAAATTTTTAATGTCTAAACAGCTATATAAGAATATGGCTGCCTCTCATTTCATTTTATACTGATCACGTGGTTACCTTGGATGTCATCGTTGAAAGTGCAGTACTTGTTGCGGTACTTGCTCAGCAGACGGAAAGCATTAACATTTGCAAAGTCCTCAAACTGAATCAGACAGTCAATCCCAAACCTGTGGAGAGAAGAGCTGCATTTAAATCATTCTGACTCAACCAACAGAGAGCTGGAAAAAGAAGAGATACAGGAAGTAATGACAGTAATCATTATATTATAGGTGAGGGCTAATAACACACACACTGCTTTCAAAGACTATTTCAGTCCAGAGGGGGGCGCTCTCTCACTACACTACAAAGCAGAGGGTCAGAAATGAGAGGAGATTCTGGCTTCTCATTGCACAAAGTTATAACAATGGATTGTTTCGCTTTCCTGAATATGCTCAGTTATATGAACATGTTTCAAATGAAATAAAAAACGATACTCTTTTGTCAAAAGTCTAAACTGAAAAATAAAGCTACAGAACATTGTCCACTATTTCTGTTTAATAGATGTTTGACAATCTGACACCTGTTTTCCCCCCGACTGTTTGACAGCACCTCACAATGAGTTTCCATGAGGGAGGTCAGACCTGCACAGAGGGGCATATTCACAAAAACACTGCATTTGAAAGAAAAGAGCACAGAGGCCACCCAGTACTGCCCCAGTAAACCAGCAGAGTTCAGTTTTACAAGATGTTGCTCAGACCACCTATCACATACAGTCAATACCATAGCACAGGAGCCTGTGTCAATAAGCTCCTATAAAAACACATAACAAAAATAAGCCTTAAACCCAGTGTTATGAGTCTGTAAATTAGATTTAGCAGCGACAAAAATGAATCCCAAGTTCCCACGCCTTTCAACAGACGGAACTTTTGTTCAGGAATTTACTGGATATTTGCAGAGCAACTGCTGCTGCTGCTGCTGCTGCTCCGTCTCTGGGATTAAAGACAGCTTTTCAGCTGGAGGATAAGGAAAGAATGAAACAGAAGGAAGCGGAACACTGGTGAAGGTGTGCAGGATGACAAAGTTAAGAGAGCATGCAGGAAAAACAATGACTATTAATCAAGATTTTTATAGTGGCTATTACTGCAAAGACGCCTGCCTTTGTCATTTTGTTAGACTCAGTATTAAAATCCAGGCAAAACAGACTTTTTATTGTTTCATTGTTTGTTGTTTCAGTTTTTCCAGTGCAGAGAAAAGGCTTTTAGCATGAGGACCAACCTTAGCTAGTTATCCAGACATGCTGAAGATTGTAGCAGATAAACACACAACTTTATCCATTCTTTAAAATTTTGCTCTTAGGCTTTGATTTTTGGAGAGGGTATAAAAAAAGGCAGCAGAGAAATTAGTATATGGAAGAATCAAAAGCTTGACAAATAATAGTTTTTAACCGGGTTTAGACAGTCATTGTGTGGGAAGGGGTTTAGCGAGTGGTCAGCTGAGTTGTGAAAGGTGGAGGTTATGGTTCCCATAGAAAACTTCACCTGACTCACAGTTGGAACACTTGTATCAAAATATCCCGGATTAATCATCAGTCCCAATGATTAACCACTGTGTTACAAAATATCTGGTTCTTTAATAAAAAGGTCAAAGTTACAGGCTTGTGTGCATAAAATTTTCAAGGTTAAAGTTAACTAAGGCTCCTAAGGTGCATTTCCATAAGAAACATCCTATCACGGAATTGAATTTGAAATTCTGTTACAGTATGGAAGAAACTAAAAACACAATCTGCAGCTTCAATCATGTCACGAATTCAGCAGCTGCGGTGCTACGTTTTGTTAACAACTGCAACAATGAAGCGTTTTGAATTCTCTATCGTTCCCATTCATTCCTCTGACTGGATTCTTCTCCATAGCAACAGCGCCTGAGGCTCATGGGTATTGTAGTACCCACCATGATAAAAATGATGGACAAAACATGATTTCTCAGAAGCACAGCTGAAATAGTTTAAACTGGTGGCCATGATGTAAACCTACAGTGTCATTACATGAAGCGAGAGAGTTAATGTGATGACCCCTGTCCCACAGTCCCCTCCCACTCAACAACTCATGACTCAGGATGACACATGCTATTCTGTTTTAGGAAAATTGTCAAACAAGCTGAAACTGAATTTAATGTTTTGTAGCACACTAAACAACTGACACAAATCCTTTTGCCATAGAGATATGGGATAACTACATTTATTAAGTCTATTTCACAGCTAAAAACAATGGAAGGAAGGGTGAGGTTGTGTTAAAAACACCAGCACTCATGTTTCAGTCAGTGAGTGAAGGAGGAAATTGAGAGCAGGTCAAGCAAACAGAGCGAGCTGTCCCAAACACCTGCAGCCCTGTGAGTTCACTGGTGACAGGGTTTTTATTCCCTCCTCATCACGGTCACTTTCTACAGTTAAGGTTTCCTGCTTTGTTTTCTCCTTCTCTTCACTGTCTCTTAACTTTCTCTCTCTTTAGGTTTCTTTTTTAGTCTCATCATAAAACCCCACCTACCACCTCATAAGGAAAAGGATCTTCGTTTTCACTGTTATTGTACAACTCGCTAAAGCTATTTCCCACTTGTTACAGTGGCTGCTAAACTGCTTAGGTTTTCAGCAGGAGGAGGACGAGGCTGAGCGGAAGCGAAGCAAGAAAGAAATGCAGGATGAGAAGCGACCTGAGTTCAGCTGTAATAAAACTTAATGTCCTGATGAGAGAGTGCCATTGCTGGGTCAGTGTTTATCCTTCCTCCTGCCGCGCTGCAAGACACTGACGCCTAATACAGATACTGACAGCCCTGCTGACTTACTGCCAACACGGCAGTAGCGTTGAGGAGAGAAATGTGTTTTCTATCAAGCAGAGAGCGGCACTAAAGTGCTGAGAGCCTCTGCGAAGAGGAGGAATAATGAGGCCAAGAAGGGAGCTATAAACTTTTCATTGTGTTTGGGCTATAGGAGACGGAGACAGGCGACGGGCGAGGATAGATGTGGCCTTTCCTCTCTGCCAGTGCAGCTCCCTCTGGTATGGTTTGGTGCATCTTGCTACTGGAGGGGTCATGCCAGTTTACACAGAACCGAGCAGCTCATGCACAGAGAAGTGGGAGTATAGTGTTCTGCAGAAGCTGAAATGCTGAATATCCTGCAACTATTCTCATCATACAGTAAAGACAGAGGATTATGTGGTCTGCCAAAACACTGAATTCATAGTTTTTTTATCACAGTGACTGTCAAAAAAGATCTGAGACTTTTGACATGGAGAATGAGAATGGCTGAGCTGTGAACACATGCATATTTATGGACATCCACTAACCATAAAGTACAGAGTGACTATCTGTGGCTGTGGGATTGCAGAAAGAAAGACACATCTTCCCAACGCAGAGAGCTCTTTAGTCCTGAGTCTGAACCAATAAAGATAGGGGGAGTGTTTTTGTGTGTGTGTGTGTGTGTGTGTGTGTGTGTGTTTGTGTGTGTGTTGCCTAGAACAAAGCTCCTGTTGGAGGCCATTTATGTTCATCTTCCCTATTCTCCCTGGCAGTCAGTTGTCTTTCCTTGATGACCCTCTGAACAGAATGCCAAAATCTAACAATGCCTCTCTTTGCCAGCTGAATAGAAAAAAATACCCCGCACAAAGAGTCAGGATTTGCTTTTGTGTCTAAGCTGAAGTATCAAGGGCAGTAACCTAAGCAAGGCAGGGCACACCCAAGAGATGAAAAACACAGACCATATCCGTGACTGTGCTGTGAGGAATCCATTAATTTCTCTGCAGCAGAGGAGAAAGCTAGAAGGATCGTGACAGACACAAAATAACTCCTGTACACAAAAATGCAGATGTTTGAACTGAGAACTCCTGTTGTGGACCCTTTACCTTGGGTTGTGTTGTATCGGCAGAAGGTAAAAACAGGATATACCTTAAGTACATGAGAGGTCAATAAGGGACAGAACACCAGAAAAATGGGATGGATGGATGGATGGATGGATAGATTTTTTATTGATCCCCTCTGGGAAGTGGGAACAAAGGATCTCCTGAACCTCTCTATCCTGCAGTGAGATGAGACGTTTGCACCTGTAGCTACTTCTCTGTCCTGCCAGAATGTTGTGGAGAGGATGGTTGGTATTGTCCAAGATGGCCTCCATCTTACATTGCATGCGTCTCTCCACAACAGTCCTGAGTGAGTCCAGACTCCTGCCAAGCACAGACCCAGCCTTTTTGACCAGCTTGTCCAGTCTCCTTGTGTTCATGTCGGACATGCTGCTGCCCCAGCAGACTGCAAAAAACTATTTCCCTATAACCTCAAATATTAATGACTTAACATGCAACAAAATAAAAACATCCTTGGGTATTATTTATTCGGAGTTAAAACTCAGCTGATCAGCCTAATCAGGACTGTGTGGCTGTAGTTTGATAAGCAAATCACCCCACAGCTGTCATCCTATTTTGATTTGAATATTGACAAATCCTGATAGCTGCTCAGGAATGCGTGGCATCACCTTTTCCCATCTGAGCCCTGCCAACTTCAAACCAGTGAAAAGAGGTCATTGCATAATACACACTCAACTTGGACACTGCAAACAGAAAACAACCACACAGGCAGACAAGACAACAGTCTAACCTTTCCTGCCATGGGGCTGTTTAAACTATCTGAGCCACACTACCAGAGCAACACAGAGATCCTTTGTTCTCAAAACTTTTATTTGGCTGTGATTTATGACTTGCCACGATAATTTGGGTATTAAAGTAAAAGAAAAACACTTAGACTCATTGTTTACTGGAGCAGTACTTGCATGGTTTCTTGCCAATTGCTGCCAAACCAGTTGAATATATTGAGTGTAAATGCTTGTGACATTATTCTTAATGTTTGATAGCATGAAAAAGAGCTTGAGACATGAGACGACAGGCACTTTCCCATGTGGCGAATCATTCAGACGTTTGGTGTTATGTCTTGGCCAAACTGCAGGACGAGGGAGTTAACGAGTGACCCAGCTCCTTCAGGAAACACAATCTGGCTTCATCTGAGACTTGATGAAATCTGAATCTCCAGCTAATAGGAAGTAGGCGGATGTCATATACACTTCCAGCGCCGAGGGGGAGACTAGACGCAGAGGAGAAGGTACGAAGGGATTCTTTTAGTTTGAGCGCAGTCATGAGGGCCATAGAGAGTCGGCAAGGACCTCAGCAAAGAAGGTCACAGACAAGGGTGCTCTGTACAAACACAGCTGTCGAACTTGTGTACATATATGTGTTTCTGTGTACACACACAGGCTGTCTGTTACCTCTTTCCCTACAGGGCTTTGTGGCTGAGGCCTTAATAAATCCCAAGCCCGCTCTTACTCTCCAGAGAGCCAGCATCTCTCAGCACACATTATTTCTCAAATCCCTGAGTCGTCATTAATGACAAAGACGCATTCTGCATTCTTTCTCCTCTCCTCCTCCTCCTCCTCTCTTCATCCATCCATCCATCAGTCTGTCTCTCTGTTCCTTATTCTCTCAGTGCCAAGAGTTTAAAATAGTTGATGACATTCCTGTAGTCTTTCCATTCTGTTCAGATGTATATGAGGAACACCCTAGAGCCTGTTCTGTCAAATACTGTACAACTATTTGTGACATGAACAGTTCTGACACTGTGACGCAAAGTATTCCTGACTACAACGTATGTCTGCTAGTATAGCTGCCAAAAATATACATTTTATAATTTCATCTACCTAAGGTCTACAAGTACTCTTTTGTTTGTTCTATATTTTCCTTAATGTCAACAAATCCCATTTAAAACCAAATTCACCAATGACCATAGACTGCACATAGGGATAGAGCTCTGTGACGTCACCCATAGGTTTCTGAGGAGCAGTTGTGAAACTCAGAGTGGGCTGCCATCTTGGCAGCGCATGACTCTACCTAACTTACAGCTAATTAAAAAATGAGCAAAGAGTTGGGGTGTGTGTGGAGCCAAGACTTTGATGCACACCAGCGCCTCAATCATGATTACCTTTAAGCCTTAATAAAATTCAAACAGGTGAGTGATATAAAAATTCACCCAAACACAGTTTCTCACACGAACTGAGAAATTTAGCTAAAGAGACCTCAGTTTCCATATGCTAAATATATATTTATCAATTATGTATCTTAACTAACAGTCATTTTATGTCTGATGGGGGCTATAGCAGTCTGGATTACATGATCAGTGGGACTATTTTAACTTTAACATGCTTGCTATCTCAAACTTATTGTATCAATGTAACATGAATCTTTCCTATAGGACTGGGAAGAGAATTGTTGGGTACACGTTGTTTTTTTCTTTTTTGCTTTGTTGTGTTTATCTTCACATCAAAATGGCAAAGACTGAATTTAAATCACACTGAGTTGTTTTTTGTAATTACTTGTGCCAATGGAAAAAAAGTTTTATTTTACTAAATATATTTTTAATATTTATATGATATACCATATATGATATAAACATATATTTCTCCAGCATATTCTCGACCTATATATCTTTTTCTGACACGTACCTGCACCATAGAAGTAAGAGAAGTGGGTTTCCGGTTAAAATCCCCGTTCAGCCTGTCAACAACAAAACTTGAGCAAGGTTTTGTCTTAATGTCTTAAGTTAAAGTTAATTAAGTTATTGCTGTGTGTCTCAAGCCACTCTTTTGTTAATTACTACTTGTCTTGTTTTTTTAATTTCCAGCACGTCCCTCAACACCATCGTCATGTCAACACCTTCATGCAGAAGAATCTGCACACACCATCAAAAATGCATCAGGGACTATACGTTCAGAGTTAAGAGTTCAGAGGTTTTAAACCACGGCTGAGCCACAGTTTATCCTTCCTTCAAAGTGCTGTGGGTGTGTGCAGGAGCAATGAGATTATGAGATAATTTATTTCTGGCTGTAGACAAAAACAGCAGACAACATGAGCTGAATGTTCAACGGGAGCAGATTATTCTCCTGAAATCAAACACTTGTTACATCACAAACCATTCACCATTTAAAGTACTTTTTAAATGGTAGATTAAAAATCTCCAGACTTCTGCTCATTGATTGTGAGTCAGTCTGGAGTATTTTAGTTCATGTTTAGTTTCTTAGAAAACTAAACATGAATATTACTTAAAAGACTGCAGAACTGTAATCATTCATTCAATCTCTGAGCCCATAATTATTCATTTTCCGCCAATCTGGCTCCTTTGGAGAAAAAAGCATCACTGTTCCCTGTAGTTGAGAAGCTACCCGGTTATTAGAGTCATGGCTTCCTGTTGCCAGCTGGAGGGGGCCCAGACCCAGGCTTCTCCCTCTGGACTCCAGTCTCTCTGGGTTAGGACGAGGCTTAACCAGGCCCATGTGTGTGTGTGTGTGTGTGTGTGTGTGCATGTGTGTGTGTGTGTGTGTGTGAGTGAGTGTGTGTGTGCCCTATGGCATACAGGGACACAGAGATACAAAGCAAAAGAATACAAAGGTTTCAACAGGATATGACTGCAGTAAACACATGAGGTACAAGTCCTGAGGGGAATCACAGTGCGTGACTCCGAATGTCACTTCAAAGAAGAGGGCAAAGATAAGGTCGGTACAAACTAATTGAGTGACAATATGGAACACCAAACACAAGAATCAACCTCACATTGTGTCAATCACACATCCTCTGTGCATGGGAATGATGGGGTCAGATATTTTCCCTGGACAGGATCAGTGGAGTCAACACAGAAAAAACAAAGTCTCACACAAAGCAGTGTATCTCTGTTCACACGCTCCACCATATTCCCTAAAGCATTCACAATTATCAAGAATTTCAATTCCGTATATCCTGCTTAAAGCAAACAAAGAAACTCTCCATCCATTCCTTACAGAAATAATTGGCTGGATTTCTGTGGATTAATAAGTGAATCTGATTAGTGGTCGCAGTCTCAAAACAGATAATATAATGTTGCCTTCTGACAGTTCATTCGTCCTCCCAAGAGCTGGTTAGCTCTTCTCAGATATCCATATGGAGACAGTCATGCTAAGAAAATCAATAGCTCCAACAGTTACCAAAACTTTCTGATCACTTTTCAGTAAGCTAATGCCATTCAGCCAGTGAGCAGAGTTTTGACTGATATTACTTAGCAACCACAACTTAGTTCAAAGAAGCTACAGCTGAATCACCAGTGACTGAAGTTCCAGAGTCCCACAAGGTTTGGCTGCGTCGCTGCATGCACTGACCATGTTAAACTGCTCAACATATTTCTTTTAAGAGCACCGTGTGCTGTCTCTGTTATGATGACAACAGCAGGCCGCATAAAGGAAGTGGGCGAAGGATGAATTGAGGGCCGATATGATCGTACCTGTCTGACACAGCCTTCATGAATTCATCCAGCAGGTCATCATAGGCCTGGCCTCGGACTCTCTTATGCCTCAACCCGATGTAGAGAGGGTCCTTCAGCAGGGCCTGCAAAACACATGGAGGCAGAGGTCATAACAACAGATGAGAGGATATAAAACGTGTAAAACAAGGAAGGCTGAAGGAGAGAGAAAGGACTTTAAAACATTTATTTTAACACATGTTGCATCTCAGATTAGTGCCTGCACTAGGCAACTTTGTCAGTTAATACGTCCTCATATCTACAAGAGAAACTGTCCAAAAAGTCTGTAATGTGATGCCAGTAAACTACAAACATTCACTCATTTACCAAACTGTGAGTACTACATACATTAGATGTACTGTATATTTAGACATCAATAATAACCTTTATGACTTTACTGTATCTGTCTTCCATGTCAGCTCCATCATAAAGCCTTATACTTTTTGTGAGTGACAAGATGAGCTCAAGTCAGGTATTGTGGATTTAATGACAAAGTATAGACATGAAATTTTTAGTTAGTAATGGTAATTTCTCATAATTTCCTGCATTTGGTACTAATTACAAACTGCCTAATTGTCTAGTCAAAAAATTTCAGTGTCCAAACCCAAATAAGCCAGGATCATCAGGATTGATGACATCATCAGGGTTATTTATTCAGATAGCACTGAAAGCACTACAGGTTGAATTAACCTTTTTTCATGTGTTCAATTGGTGGCGTTCTCTTTTCAGTGGGTACAGCCTGCATCATTTTTTAAAATTATTTATCATTTCTCTCATTGCTCAATGACAACTTGGTAGGTGGTTGCATAGAAATGATCAAGTATGAGAAGGTGGTTTTATTTTGAAACCCCCTCACTGAGAATAACCCCATACAGAGAGAAAGGTCAAAGTTCAGTCCTTTAATCCTCAGGAGTCACTCACCACTGCCTTTTTCTGTATAAAAAATTCTTACAAATTTTAACTTAGCCGCCTATGTTTTACTGACCTGTAAGAATAATTTACAGAACGATCACATCTGGTAAATAAAACATTTAATGGGAAAGGTAGTTTTGTATATTTAGATGTTTGTTCGTGCTTGTACATCTCCTGCATGCTCACATAGAGTATAAACCTCTGTACCAGGAACAACTGTGTGTCCAGTCTCAACATTTCTTGTATGTGGACTTAAGAGAGAGAGGAGAGATATATACTGGACATAATGTGAGCACTTCCTCACACGTACACACACCTGTGTCTCCATAGACCTTAGACCCCTGCTATAATGTGAAACACGTGTGTGATCCTATAGCACCGAGCAGCACCTCCTGTCATGTTAATTCGCACACAATCTCCAGATGCATCTGCATGTACAGCAAACCTTTTGCCCTGTTGCAAATTTTGTCTTTTTAATTGTAATACCAATAACTTAGGTCATAGTGACACTGGATGAGTGAATTACCAAGCATCTGGAAATACTAGACAATCAAGAGCTCCTACAGGAGGTTGACTGAGAATAAAAATTGTAAACGTGGTGTTATATGTGACTGTAGAAAACAGGTCTGGGTCACTGTTTTTTAAATTTCCTTCAGTCTTTGAAAAGTGAACTAACAGGCACCACTGAGTGACATTTGACCTTTGCACCACAGTATTTTGAGGATGAGAGGGACACAGCTGGGAAGTCAGAAAATGAAGAGCAGTTGTGGATGGGAAGGTGTGTGTGACAGAGAGAGACATTGATGAATAGGTGGAAGTAAATGCCACTTAGCAGTGTTAGATTGCTTGCAGACTTTGCTTTGAGGTATCGGCCCATATTTCATCAGATCTCTGATGTGCTGCACCTGCCTGACATAACATGGCTGTGTCTCAACATACAACAAGAAGCAGATTTTGGAACATTGACTCATGATCTAAAAGCTATAAACTCTGTAAACGGAGAGTTCCAGTGAATTTCGATTGAAAGGGTGGAGAGCTGATCCGGAGCGTTGTCATGCCTCATTGGGACAGGCGACCTTTACTTCTGGAGATGGATAATTAGAGGGTGTCGCTCAGATGAGTGAGGCTTGGACAAGGCAGCAGCCACCTTCCCGTGGCAGGGTCAAAAACTGCAGCTCAAAAAGTTTATTTAAGGCAATATTTATTTGAAGTTGACAAGTCATTTCCTGGCAAGGTTTTAATGGACTGTAATGGACAGGAGGTGGCTAAGTTCAACTGTAACCAAAACAAGCAAAACATTTTCATGTGATCCCACAGAGAAGTGGACTGATATCAGAGAAAGAGTTTGGTGGTTATTGCATCAGATGATGCAATAGCATGCAAGGAGAAAGATTAAAAAACTGCTCTAAGAGTTGTTAATATCTGAAGTTTCAGCTAATGCCTAACATACACAAGAAGACTTTGAAAAGTCTGACACCCTCTCACATCTAAAGAAAATGTGTCATAAGAGTTTCCAGCCTCACTATAAGATTTGGAAAGATCACTTTTTTTGTTTTTTTTATTCTACTGCTGTTGTTGTTGTATGAAGTTAGTAACTCAACATTATATCTGTCATGCTCTGCCCCTAAAATGACTGTGTTTGGACTTTGATTAAAATTGAAATTTTCCTGTGTCCAATTACCCTTGCCTCCCTTACGTATTTAAAGCCAGGAGTTGCCTCCATGTTCACTATCTGCTTGGTTTGCTACTTCCTGTTTGCTGCTGGAGAAAGTGTCATTGAACAACATTATTTGCATGAGCCAACACTAAAAACTATGTCTGATTTTATTGAAACGTCAAGACAAAAAGAAGACTGACTTGAGACAGTTCAGAGGATCACCTTACACCAAACTTGTAAGACGGGAGAGCGCCGAAACTCTTGCAAAACTCTTACGATTTTATACCGACATTGGAAAATTGTCTATGATGGTGAAATGGCTTGAAAAATTGTTTGGTGTAAGTCCGGTGAGTTCTCGTTTCATTCATTTATACACTGTGACAAAACTACCTTTAAAACTGAAACAGAAGAAGTATAAGTGACTGCGGTAGATCTGAGTGAGTTTCAAGAGGGATGACCTCGCTGACCCTCTGCTGAACTGTTGACACGACTTGTCTTTCTGTCCCAGATTATCTACTGTTGATTGGCTAAGCTGCCCTTTGTGTTGTACAGCCCCTTTTCTCTCAGGAGGGATTAATCCTTGTTTCAATGCTTTACAGTCAATGCTCGCTAAAGACACAAAAGCTCCATTTTCACTGTTGAAACAGTTTCTTAACTGATGACTTTTGATGAGGGAGTTAAAAATGTAACTGCAGCTTTAATATAAATGGATTTTAAAGAAGACGTGGCCAGGCATCAAGAACAGCCTGGACCTGTCTGAGGTAAAGGACACTTTGGACCCATGAAACTCCCCCCTACACACAAACAGCATATTGTCCAGAATGACATCACTGACTCGCATTTCAGCATGAGTAAGTGTGTGTTGAGGTTACTCCAGGTGACATCAGGCCAATGGATACACAGACAGATACAGCCCAGGGAGATAACAGGATGACGTAGTAAAAACTGGACTACCTGAAAACATTTTCCTTCATTCTGTGTATGTGTGTGTGTGTGTGTGTGTGTGTGTGTGTGTGTGTGTGTGCGTGCGCGCGCGCGCGTGCATGCATGCGTGCGTGTGTGTGTGTGTGTGTGCTGTACGTGAGGAAGAGATAAGAGCTTCGCAGTTCATTGCTGGTTCTCACACAGCTACCACATTCCTCTGCAGAAGAAAAATAGCAACTGTGCAGAGGTTCAATTTCTGAGACATTCAACAGGCACCGAGACTCCTCATGATCTGATAAGAGATGAACAGAAAAGTGGTAATGATCTTCTCATCTAACTCAGAAATCAAAACGAGCCTCTGTTCCAAAATGTTCAACTATTCGTTTAAAGAAAAAAAACACGGTCTGTCTTCAGGGGGTCTGCCTTTTGGACTGTTTGGATGTCTGCCTGCTTGCCTCTATATCTACCCCCATATCCACTCAAGGAAAAATATAATCCCATAATAACAGTCATTTTAATAATTAGTTAGAGCTACCACTACCTCACAGCCTCTCCCACCCAATCTGCTTCCATCATGCCTTCACAGTAAGTCTGCAGAGTGAGGCAGAGTACCAGGCGAGGGGCACCAGGCTAGCCCAGCCTCCCAAATAAAGCCAGTCCAGAAGAACTACACATGTACACACACACAGCCAGTCCATTTATCCCATTACATCTAATTTAGCTTGTCAACTCTTTAGAATAATAGAAAAATGGAAAAGTCGGCCACAGCCAGGCAGACTACAGTAAAATCTCTCTTATAGCTCTTTCTCTAACAGTTGCATGAGCAGCAATACTAAATTACTAGGTTTGCCTCTGTGTATCATTATTATTATTAGTAACATTAAAGAAATAGAAATGTACAGAGAGACCAAATTGATATCAACAATCCATCAAACTACCAGTAAGACAGCGAACAAGCTAACTCCCGGATGGCAAAGTAACAGAGCATCACTGGGATTCGGAACTGTAATGTAATTACTACATTTAAATGTAATTCTTAACCCGTAACTGAAAAAAAGTAACAGAGTAATGTGTTACTGCCCAAATCTGAATATCTGTGTTGGAAGCACTGAGCTGGAGCTGGGAGGATATTTCACCTTGCATAGCAAAATACTGGAAACTAGGGAAAACAGCTAGCTAGCTTGTTCAAATACACCTCTAAATGTGACTAAGTAACATGTTGTATCTCATTTGTTTAAACAGAAAATGTAAAAACCACAATTGCAATTTGCATGCTATATTAATATTTCTTGGCATTCAACAGTTTATCCATCCATCCAGCACTTTTGTGCAGCATCTCCACTATAGTGCAGATTGCCATATTTGTCATAACTTACACTAAAACCACAAAATGTCCTATTTACTTGTTGTTTTTTTGTATGGATTAAACCAATAAGGGACCATGTCTTAACTTGTGATCTTTATAGGACTTCGCAACCATTTTCAGTAACTTTGGAGAGAACCAGGCTAGCTGTTTCCCTCCTGCTTCCAGTCTTTATCCTAGGCTAAGCTCATCACCACCTGGCTGCGGTTCAGCTCAAACATAAATCAACCTTATCATCTAACTTTAGGAAAGAAAGCAAATAAGTGTATTGTCCAAAATGTTGAACTATTCAATCAACATGTCTATATATTTGAAGTGGTTGAAGTCCAACAGCACTACCTGAACTATAACAGATTGATAATCCATGAGCTCTGCATTCATATTTACACACATACCTATGCATGTGTAGTGTATAGGTTTGTGTGTGTTTCTCTTCCTCCTCCTTTGGCAGCAAGTATAAAGCAGCTTGAGGACGCAGGCAAGTGTGGATCAAAGACTCCAGGGCAGCTTGTTCAAGTTGTGTTGTGATGGCCATAAATGTCTAAAACGTCTGCCCTGCATCCAAAAATCTACCCTGCAGATGGGATTATCACCCTAAACTAAAGTCATTCAGAGCAACAGAGTCAATGTGGAAACTTAGAGATGCCAGTACAGGAAGAGGTCAAAAGGTAGAGCTATAATAAATAGGCCTTTAAAGATAAAGAGCTGCGGTGCAGGACTTGGCAGAACGAGAGATGATTTTTCTCTCTTAATCCAGTTTCAGTGGCACAAAAAGGATGAATGCAGATAAATCTTTTTTGTGCTTTCTGGAGAGACTGCAGTGTTTCTGTGGTTAAAAAGCAAGGGATATCTGCTGTGAGTGAGTACTTTGATGAAGTGTGTATTGGGTAAATACTGTCAGAGAGGAACCTCAGGCCATCCAAGATGCCATCACCTACATGACCTCAGCTTTTCTTCTTCTTCTTGGTCTCTGTGCAGTCTCACTACTCCTCCAGGTTGATTCTGTTACTGACATTTCTTGTTTAATTCTATTTGCAAACTCATGTAACCTCAGCAACATCTCTCACCCTTAATCCAACTGAGACATTTCCTTGGAATGAAACTGAATGCCAGGGTCTGAGTCATCTGAAGATTGTCTTGGAAAATGAAGGACAGCTCCTGACAGGCTGAGCTCAGCTGTGTTGGGCACACAGGCATCTGAGGCTGCCACGCCCTTGGCCACGGTAGACAGTTGTGTATATATAGAAGTGCACACAGACTATTCTTAGTCTGTTTAAGGCTACAGACACACGTGCTGCCCTGCCCAGAGTTTGAATCATCGTTCAGAGACACTGCCACAGAGAACAGGGACCACTGTAACAGGTAGATAAATATTGCTCTGTTGGCTACTACTACTCTCACAGGCTTGCACAGGGGAGAGGTGCTTTCCCAGCTGGCATCCATCAATGGAGCTGCTTACCTCACTTATGTAAAGGGTGTTTCCTGGTTGTAAAGTGTGAGATTTGTTTTCTTTTTCTTGGCTATTTCTGAAGCAAAGCTTACCTGGCTACGGTGGATTAACAGCATTTCCCTACTGGCATATCATGGCATTTTAAATTTGTTGGAGCAATATTTGGAGTTTAAGTGTCTGGGGCAGCAGAGTTGAGAGAGCTGAGCAGGAAGAGAACACTTGACCATTACTACTTGGGGCTATAATGACCAAATTTCCCACAGAGATGATTAGACGTTCATCTAATTTGATGTAATCCACCTTAAATTGAGCAGGACAGTCCACAAGCCCCAGCTGCTCTGAAGCTGCCCTTATATTCCATGTGTGGAAGGTGAGAAAAAAAACAAATCAAACAATCTCAGTCCTTACCTCATTGTCTGTGCCCACGTCCAGCATGACAGGCAGACACTGCTGTGGTGGCATACCTCCACAGGCTGTGTAGAGGGCCAGCTTGCCCACTGGGATGCCCATGCCATAGCAGCCCAGGTCTCCCAGTCCCAGGATCCTCTCTCCATCTGTCACACACACCGCCTGTCAATCAATATAACTGTCAGCCATAAAGTACACCAGCCACACCCACCACCTCATCAATTTAAATATGTTTGTATTACTACTATAGGACGTTCTTAAATATTTCATATCACACTTATAAACAGTTTAATGAGAAAATAAATGACGCAGCAGTTCAGCCTCCACATCCTGTTAACTTAAATCTTCTTCACCAAAACAGGTCCACCCTGCTACCAAGAAACATGTTTTTTTCCTCAGTGTAAGCCAGGTCCTCCTACACCCTCCTGGCTTTCCACTCACTACTCACTTTACTTATTAAGCAATAAATAAGTTCCTCTGGGTTGATTCCACAGCATGAAACAAATCAATTGTGTAACACTTAATATCACCAGCAGAAGTGTTTCATTTGAAAAGTTCCTCATTCTGACTCTTTTCTTTTTCCACCATCTGTGTGACGTACAAAACTCTGGCACAAAGGTTTTACAGCCTTGTTCCTCCCACAATTTGACAAGTTTAAAGAGTGTCATTACTTTTCCCATATGAATGTTTAAAAATGCATAATGACCATACTTAATACCATTAGCAGCTCATTTTTTTCCCTAACTATCACTTGTTAATATTTGACAGAGAGGCTGCCAAGGCTTATCCGTGGATGACTACCTTGGCTCCCATTTGCCCTCTCTCTATTGAAATGTTAAAAGTAGGGCATATTAGGTGAGTTTACGATAAGACCACCCTGACAATGAGAGCGGGCATGTCAGCCCTGAGGTAAATGCCCTGCTGTTGACAGCTGTGAACAGGTGGCTGAGGCTGCAGGTATATTTGACATGCCAGGAATGCCTGCCGGTTTCGTCATTCTAAATATGACTAGATTATGACTTGCACATAGTTGCTCTATACACAAGAATAAAGGGATATTTCAGGTTTGGTAAAATTGGAACCAGTCCCAAGAGATCACTTGATTTAGTGCATTAACTATTTTTAATAATGGCCTGGTGTAAGATGACTGACTTTGTAATTTTTAAGATATTGTATTTTTATATTTTTCATATAAAAATCCCTCCATTAGCTATACCGCTTATCCTTATAGGGTCGCAGGGGGGAGCCAGTCCCAGCTGGCATGGGGTGAGGGCGGGATACACCCTGGACAGGTTGCCAGTTTATCACAGGGCTGACATATAGAGACAACTAACTAGTCACACTCACATTCACACCTATGGGCACTTGAGAGTCGCCAATGTGCATGTCTTTGGACTGTGGGAGGAAGCCGGAGTAAGAACCCACGCAGGCACAGGGAGAACATGCAAACTCCACACAGGCCTGGGGTTCAAACCCAGAACCTTCTCGCTGTGAGGCTACAGTGCTACCCACTTCTCCACCGTAGCACCCACACAAATATATACTGTCATTTTTAAAAATAGTTTAAAAAGTAAAAAAGTAGTTCTATCAGACTACTCAAACAATTGTGCATTTCTTGTGGACTATTTTCCATTGCATTGATTTAGACAGCTACGTTTGGATGCAGCTCAAAACATGTCACCTACAGCAACACTGGCTCATCGATGTTTTTTTTACATCTTTTTAATTTTTTAATTTTTATTCATTGTTGGTTTTGGTCTTTTCATATTACCAGGCTATCCTTTGATATGCATGCATGCACTAACATGACACAGCAGTCAATGACATACTGAAAACACACGGATTATATTATATTCGTGTCCTCATCATTCTATCTAAATGGAAAAATGTGTAAGGTCGTGATGCTGCAACTATATGAACATAGTCTGAGTGATTTCATTCACCTTGACGTCTTTCTCCGGCCAGTTCTGCAGCAGTGAAGCAATGTGGCCATGGTCATGAATGGTGATGAACAGCCCCCTGCAACATAGAAAAACAAATAGAGGAACTCAAGTACGCAGAAGAATTAGACCCCATTTTTTACATATTGAGATGGCACCACGAGGCGTGATGGTCAAGTGTCCTCCTCTTTCTCACTCCCCAAAGATCTCCTCATGTCAGCTCTCCTCCAATAAAGCAAAATGTCACTAAAATAATCTTGGTAAAAACAGTGGCAAGAACTCAAATAACAGTTAGTACATACGAACTTCTTATCTAAGATTGAAAGGAAAAACAGCTTTAAGCTGTAGCTCAGATACTGTTTGAAGTTAAGCTGCTATTTATTTTCTGCCTCTCTTTCTTCTAACCAAGACTTTATTGAATACTGATGGCACCTGGGATTTTAATACTGAGCCCAGAGCCGAGGGCCTCTGTAGGGAGTTTGTTTTGGACCCTTGAGGCTCCCCAAATATCCATTCATCTTAGAACCCCCCCCTCCCTTTCCTTGCTCCCTGGCATCAATGCACTTCACTCCAGGACAATCCCAGGATAAAGAGATCATCTCAGTGCGTGGGGTCCAGCTGCAGCGTCTTTCCTACCCAACCAATCCATCTGGTTTATAGTATGGGGGCAACACCTCCTTCATGTGCCAGCGACAGTAAAAACATCACTTTCTGTAAGAATCTGCTCATAAAGTAAAAACCGGTCCCAGGTCAATGCTGGTGGAATAAAACAGTGGCGAAATGTCAAATGCAAACAATATGAGACACTGTTAAAAGTAAAAATAAAATATACTAAGCTGAGAGAAAGACATAAAAGTGTCACATAAAAATGCTTTGATGAGTCAGGGATAAGGTACAGAGCACTGTCAGCATAGGTTTCCACTTACACATCAATAACTACATTTAAAAAAAAGTGGAAATCCCACATGTATACATCAGGCATCGTCTTAAAATACACATTTTGAAAGCAGTCTGGATGTGTAGCTTCGTAACATCTCCAGTCGTAATCATTTACTTTACCTACAACAAACTTAAAACCCTCAGCTTTTGGGAAACACTGTACAAACCTTTCTCAGTTGAGTGTTTGTGTGTGAGCACAAATGATGGGCAGTCAGTCGCAGCAATGACCAAAGGATTACAGTTAAATAGTAGAGGAGCTCACACATGGCAACCAACATCAATGGCCCCCGGGGCCCGGCATGTTTGCTCTCCAAAGGTAAACACTGTGTCCCCTCTAATCTCTAATCAGTGAGGCTGAGCTCACACACTGGAGACTGTGTGTTTTCAGACGTTTTGGCATTTAAAGACACGATGCTGAGGGCTGCAGTTTAAACAGCTCTTAACTTTACTTATTCTGTTTACTACATAACAGTGAAACTACCCCTTGGAACAGGCAGTGTTAGCTCTTGGACAAAAAAAAAATCCTTACAAGTGTAACAAGAGTGATGTCACACTGCTTGTTTTTGCTCTCTGTGTTGCTGCCTCACAGGAGGGCTTTGCATTTTGATGTGACAAAATAGCCAACAAGACTTCTGAAAATTATACTAATGGAAATTACTGTTCAACATAAACTGAGCAAAAGCAATTTGTTAATCAATCAGTTCATTTTATCAATGGATCATTGATCACCAACTATTTTAGTTTAGTTTCGTATTTAATTGTTGACATTTTTTCCTTTTTTTGTAAAGTATTTATTATTGGTTGCCCACATGTTTCTTGCTATTCATTTTTTTTCCTTATTGATTTAGAAATATTTAGCAAAAAAGGCCTGGATATTGCCAAGTTGGTTAAGAACATAAATCTGCAAATAAATTAAGTTCATATTCATAACTACCTATGTTACAACCTGTAAACTTTGGATCTTGTTCAATCGTTTCTGCAAGTGGTTCTATTGCTAATACAAAAAAAAATGTACCTGGGGAACTAGTATTTTCCTCTAATCTCACATTTAATCAGCTACATAGTTAACTGAATAATGAAAATAATCACTGTTTGCAGCCATAAATTTGACAGAAAGGGGGAGGAAGTGACAGACTGCTGCATTAGAAAGGCCACAAACATAATGAATGACCCCTCTCACCCCTCCTGACACCTCTTTGCACTTTTGCCCTCTGGAAGGAGGCTCCAGAGCATCTGTGCAAAGTCTGCCAGACTGAGCAACAGCTTCTTCCCCAGAAACCATCAGGATTCTAAACACCCTTCGGATGCTGCCCCTCCCCTCCCTCTAATACAACAAGATAGCACAGACAAATGCACTTTAAAATATACCAGCGCCTAAGCTACTGTATTACACACTGCACACATGACAAATGACAGACACATAAATATGCGACTCTGTTTTTAATATGCGTTTTGTCTTTTTAATATCTATAATAGCATCTTGTTTTTAATGTTTCTCTGTTTTTAACGTGTTTCTGTCATAACCCCCCGACCGGTGGAGAACGATATCTCACTCCAATGTATGCCATGTGTTAATTATAGACGTGACAAATAAATCTGATTGTGATGCTGAGAAGAGAAATTGACCGTGAAGCTTTCAAAAGCGACATGGACCTCCCTATGCAAAGAGCTCTTTGGGTCACATAGAGGTCACTGGGCCACAGACATCTGGCATCTGTCATTTTAAACACCTTTCAACATTTCTGGCCATATAATGACGCACATCTGCATATATCTGTAGATCTACACATCTGTGCACAAAAAGGGTCTGGCTGATGTCTGCACAGCTGACAAAGACTGTGAGGAGCTGGACATGATTCGTCTTTAAACAAAGTACTTGTGTGAGAGAGGAATAGGAGCTGGGGGAAAGTGTGGCCTGCTGAGTGTGAGCCACTGCCAGCATTATGAGGAATTGTGGGGGAAAGAGCAGCACTGCGGCTGAAAGGCTGACCCCACAATATGACTGTTGGAAAACAACTTTATAAGACAGATCAAACAAGACAGGCAGGATTTATGTAATTCCTAATTTCTGTCAAACTTAATGTTACCAAAAACATTTCAGGTTCAGCTCGCCATCATTCCTCTCCTCCCCTGATTCTCATTTTCTGCCTCTCTGTGCTTTCAGGAGAGCTGTAGACCTCATGCCCTTTGACCCTGACACGTACATTAAAGCAGAGTTGCGGGAGTGTCTGTGAGTCTGTGACCCAGAGCAAAACACACACACACGCACACATACACGCACGCACACACACATGAACCAACTGCTCAAAGAAATCCCATCATGCATCTACAGTACCCAGATCAGTGAAGACTTAACCAACAGTATCTCATGGTGTCAGGAGTCACGCTGTTTTAAATCCGTCATCACTGCGTGTTTAGAGGATGATCTTTTCAGAGCAAGGATTCTGAAATTGTGAAAAAAAACAGTTTAATGGATCATTGACATTGTACAGCAGCTCTCAAGGGGACATGTATGATATGAGAGGTTTTTGTCCACAGTTCATAAAGATTCCCAGGCTCTCTCTCTCTCTCTCTCTCTCTCTCTGTGTGTGTGTGTGTGAACCTCTCACTGACTTCTGCTTTCTCATGTCAGTTAATTTGGTTAGTACTTTCCCCAATACTGCGTTCATGAACTGTCCCTTTAAATAAATATGACGTCTTGTTCAGTTTCTTACCTCGTCCAACTAACATTAGTCCCCGTTCACTCAAAGTGAATGGCAATACTGATGACACAAGAACAAACACTGAGCCTCAACCCGAGCTGCTTCTACCTAAAACAAATGTTTGGGCACATTTTGGCTTCAGTGAAGATGACTCCAAACAAAAAGAAGTCAAATAACAGCAGAAAAACAATTTCAGCCACCAAAAGTAACACCACCACTTTGTTTAATTAATAATCGATGTGTGTTTCGATTTCAAATGTTCAAAATATTTAATTAACACTTAATCTGTGTATCCAAGCTCTAATGGTTCAGCATATTTATAGTGCGGACCTATAGTACAGAAAAAGCATGTAAAATAAGTAATCGTTCATTAATCGTAATCAAGGTAAGAGTTTGAAATAATCTTGACATTCATTTGAAGTCATATTGCCCAGCCCGAGAAGACAGTGGAAGAGAGAAACAAAACAGGAAAAAGAGTATTGTTTACAAATTTGTGTGAGAACATTGTTGGAAAAAAAAAGGCGTCATTTTAGCTGCTAGTATAGGTTTAGGATTTGAGTTGAGGGTTAAAGGAAAATTCCAGGCTCTGATGTTTTTAAGGTTCTTAAGTTAACATGAAACCAAAATCAGAACATTTCCTGCATCATTTGTAGTCTATAAATACTGCTGTTGAAAGATTTTATTGTTCTTTCTTAATTAGGGCTGAACGATATGCAAAAAAAAAAAAAAAAAGTGATTATTTTGGTAGATATTTCGATTGCGATAGGAGTCACGATTTCAGTTGGAATGGTCATTTTTGCATTTTACTTTCACGGAAACACATAAAAATGATGATGATGTGATTTTTGTTGGGTTTTGTACCAAACAAGCATGTTCCTTCACATCTGGAGAATATGATTTGTACGCTGGGTCATCCCTGTGGCACCACAATGCTTCATTTATGGTCTGCTGTAACAAATTTTAATCCTTGCTCAAAAAAATTGAAGCTCCTGTTTTGGCCATTATGAAATTTCCCTATTCTTATTCATCTTTTTTGTCCAATGTATGCCCACAGCCCTTACCAGCTCTTACCTTATCTATTTTAACTGTAAGCACCCCTGGTTGGAGATCATTGTTCCGCAACATATTTCCCATTATATTGATGCTTATAGACAGTTAAGATGTGTGTGTGTTTGCATGTGTGCGCGTGTGTCTGACTGCTGCTGCAGAAGTAACCACAATGAACAGCAGTTGCCACATTTTCTAGATGAGAGGAGGGCCACAAAGCGCTGAGCTGCTATGTCTGGCTCCTTCTGTAAGAGAGTGTGGCGAGAACAGAGAGGGTAAAGAAAACAACCTGATGTCCTGAAACAGCACCACCACTGACCTGCAGCCCAACACAAAACACACCCCAGGGACTGTGGAAAAGCTGCAGGGTGCTGGCAGGAGGAATAACCGC